CTGGACCTCCGATGTGTCCACCTTGGCCCAATGATTGCATTTGGAGCTGAAATAAAAAGGTATCAGGTAATAGAATTGTAATAGTATTACAGTGGGAATATACTTGTTTATTACCACCGAAAACACTATGAAATCATTTTCACATAAACCCTTTCTTCATAGTTCCACCCCGAAAAATATTGCCAAAATTACTCTTCGAAGGGAAATCCATACAAGCAGTACCACCTAAGGACACTTATTTCTCACTAATACTTTTCCTAAGAGTAATAACAAGTAAACCCAGCCCTAAAACTCTTAATAAACAACGTGGGAGCCCTAGCAGCCGCACCAAAGATGCAGAAGCATCGGTTTTCCCAGAAAAATAACCCCGGTTCTCCAGTGCAACGTCCTCCTGGCTTTTTTGAAATACCGGAAGAAATCTTAGAAGGGGATGATAACGAAGCCAATAAGAGCAGAGGTTTTCCACTTATGGTTAGATCGTTGTGTTTTACCCAAAAATATCGGTTCCACCCCTATTTAACGGAATGCGCTTGGTAAAAGTTCGAACCCTCAAAATTTGAGTCATGAAGCAACCCTGTCCTTTTCCGATTTCACTGGGCTCTCTCCTGATGGATACTACTCCCAGAACGTTCCGGTGAACATCAAACACCTTTCCTTATCCCGAATTTTTCTAACTCTTGTAGTTAAACTCGTATGGAATTTACCTGAAATTGTTACTAGTAATCTATTTCCGATGTATTAAACAGGTGAATGCCGTCTAGGAATCAAAGCGGCTCCCATCACTCATCGTTACTCCACCAAGCCTTTTCGGCGGTCTTCTCAAATAATATGGTCCCAACTAATTATAACGTACATCTTATGATGCGATAATTGCTCGAGAATCCGATTAGCCTTTGATCCAAGTGCAATCCCATTACTGAGGTCGAGAGAGGATGATTAGCCATCATTGAAGAACGCCCGCGCTGCAACACCCTTAATCCTGCAAAAACCAGCCAAGGGGTACGGTGATCAGAGCCCTCACTTCGCGATAGGACGCACATCAACATGCAAAACACCCAAATAAACCCGAATTCACGCCCAGTTCCAGTACTATCCATTATTCATGCCTAGCCACTGTGGTACCCATGAATAGACACGTACCCACATGACTGTTGAGTTAATCTCCAGAAGACCCTATCCCCCCTCCCTTCCATTTTGTTCCATAACGACGAACATGTTGGTCCAGTAAGCTTCGAACTATCCTACCTGCAAGGCATTCGGGTCATATTGAGTGTTCTCGACTCTTGAGATTGTCCGCTCATCTTCTTCACCAAAATCTCCTCCCATCATAGATGGCTCGCCGACCACCATGACGTCCTGGAAACCCATCGACGAAAACTAAAACTTTAGTATAGAATACTAACTACGGTATATGGAGTACTATAAACAAGCTGGGAAGATTAGGATTGAATGCCTTACGTTGCCAGACATCGCGTTCGTTGGGAAACCGGCGTTCGTGGGTGCGGGACTGGCGTTGGCCTTCTTATTCTTCGCATTCGTCGTAGTTTTTCGTTGCCTTTTCCGAGCTGGTTTCGGTTTTTGCTCTTCAACCGTGGTCGGTGGCAACATTGGTGGTTGACCTGGAGCAGTAAAGAGTACTTGATATGAGAGCGTGACTATAACTAGATACAAGATACAAGTACTGCAGTAGAGGTAAAGCGTATGCGGCCTGACTGGAGGGTGACTTGACGCCCGAACTGAGCAAGTGATGTTGTGGACAATGTTCGTCAAGGGCGGTAACTTGAATGGTTACTGATTTCATTCACTAACACTTTGCGCACACTAACGGGCCGTTGAATGGGCTAAAGAGCTGCGACTTCACTTGATTACCATAAACACTTCTCAGATGGGAAATTTCATTCAAAAGCCCTATTCTAACTGGCACAAGAAAGAACTCTGCCTATAGTAAATGGGGAATGGCGAACAGATTCCCCAAAAGCACTTCATCAACGTCGTATTCATAGATGAATGTGCAATCAGAAAAGAGAAAATCAAAAGCGTAAGGACATTTTTGATGTTCAAAAAAAAAAAAAACAACATACTCATATGTTGCATTGCCA